AAAAAAAAAAAAAAAATCGCAAATATGTATTGTTATACAGCAACAACAATATTAAGGTAATCTCATATCACAAGCAATAAAGAGAACATTATAATGCATATCTTTAAATACGTGTGAATAAAAAGAACATCAAACAACAATTAAGCTTGACTTTGGAAAACATGATTCTTCCTGAATAAATGAGAGCTTGAAAGTACAAATAGTTACCTGGATGACAGTCTTTGAACCAACAAATGCTTCAATCTTCTTCCAATCACGATCAAAGCTGCACAAAAAAACAGAAATTAATCTCATAAACAACATCAATGCCAGACATATAAAAACATACGACAAAAAAAGCCACCGTGGGATGCAGACAGAGAACACAATTTTTAGCAACCTGTAAACAATATATGACTGCAGCTGAAAATTACAACAGACTAAAATATTTCAATTCGGAACAATTCAACAACCACATTAAACTTCAATTTAAAAAATAAACATGTTCGAGCGAGCACACACAAGTTAGGTTTATTTAAATATAAACCCTTCATTCAACTCCCTCTAATTTCGATTTTCTACTCAATCTATTCGTGTTCAAAATTACTTCAACCGGAAAACCGTAACCTCCATTTTCATAAAGTAAAACACAAAAATAACTACTGTCGACTGTCGTTATACCCCCACAATCTACTTCCTTCACTTATATATACCAGCCTCCAAAAAAATGTACATACAAAGGTAACCTAATTCCACTACCTTCTACCACTCCTCCTTATAATCAACAGCGAATAAAGAAAATGTTGAACATTTTTTCATAATCACAATTCCCAAACCAACAATTCGAAAGACTCCCGCTTATTTCAAGCAATCCTATCAATCCCATGTAAACCTTCAGCGCCTCTATAATCAGCTAATCACCAAATAATCCCTAAAACAAAATCCACCCAAACAGCAAATTCAGCTGCCCCCAAATCCCACATTCTGACACTGCACCAAAACCCTAACATTCTCCGACCAAAACAACTTTCGGAGCTCAAACGTCACGACTTACAGCTGCAGTGCTTCGAGGAACTTGTCGTGCTCCGGCTCGGTCCAGCTCTCGCGCGACTTGGTGATGGTGTACGGTTTCCGAACCTTCTTGCTGGGGTCCTCTACCTGCGACGTCGTATTGCCGGCCGCGGGTGAAGAAAACGAGCCCAGGTTCGGCAAGGCCATGACCGTCGGATCCAAGTAAAAGCCCTCCGGTGGATTTGTGGTCTTTGAAACCATGCGCTGCCACTGTGTGTGGTTTCTGTAAAGATGGCTAACACACCTTTATTTTTTTTTTCTCGTGTTTTTATCTTTTTATCCTCATTTTATATGGAGCTGACTTTATTTGGAGTTGGGATATAAAACATTTTGTGTTTTGTTTGGATTTTTTGTTCGCTTTGGTTAGTCTTGAAAAAATTGGAATAGTTAATTGTTAGTGGATATATTAAAATAATTTTTAAAATAAAATGATTAAAGTTGATTTGATCTAAAATAGGAGATAGAAGATTTGAAGTGACGGTTAGTTAATTAAAATTATGTGAGTTGATGAATAGTGAATTAAGGTAATGTGGTATGTAAGAATGATTGATTGATATCATTTAATTATATTGATAATATAGATAATAGTTGTTTTGAGTTAAGGTTGAGTTAAAAAAAGTGGTTGAATTAAAAATGTTGGATTTTTTTGAGAAATTTTGTATCCAATCATGCTCCTAGTGTCTGGTCTACAATTCTACATGTAGTTTTTCTGCCAATGCGCATTTGCCACTTGTAAATGAACAGACACGAGCTTGAGCTTCTTAATTCTGAGAGTGCATAAATGTTATTATCACATAAATTTTGACAAATGTCAATTATTTAGATAGATTGTGAACCACATAAAATATTTGTTAAATTCATAACTTTAAGTCTAAAAAATTATCTACAATGTGTGTCCACTTGGCAAAAACAAAAAAAATTACAAGCGTAGTTTAACTTGCGTAGCAACCAGTCCGACGTTCTCCTTCAGCGATAACAACAACTAGTGACTAGAGAGTCAATCACAGGCGCCCGTTTAAACCGCTCGACAAGAAATTTCAGTCGTCTTCCTTAGTAGTACGGCGACGCACATAACCATCTTTTGCATAACTCTTTTGTCGTCATTCTTGTTCATTCCGCACAGTTGCACCTGTCATGGAGACTTTTCACGTATGGCCTGCCAAGCCTCCGCCACCGGTCGTTCGTCCATGTCTTGCGTCGCTCGGACTCCGCCCTTCACGCAACAGACAACCAATCGGAGTTTCACGCGTCTATCGTCGCCACCAAGCTCGGACTCGTACTGCATGGACGAGGAACAAACGATGAGATTGCTGGTCGGAGACAGTCGCAGGGTGTGCGCGACCGACCTCTCGACGTGGGGCTGGAACTCGGTTCCCATAAACGGTTGAAGGTTTGCGACTAGTAGTTGCGTGGAATAGCGGATGGTGTGACATGAACACCGGGAGATTGCACATCCGACGAAGAACGGTTGCGCGACAAGTCTTCTGGATGACTGGCGATGTAAGGTGTGACCGGATATCTGGAATATTTTATAGTAATAATTGGACTTGTTATTTATCCGGAATATTTTATAGTAATAATTGGACTTGTTATTTCAATCGAGTTCGTATATACAAATAGTTTGAATCATAACTCAAGGATGGTACGGTCGTTTCTTAAACAAGTCAATCTCAGATAGTCAAATGAGTTTGTTTATTTATTTAATGAACATATTTGAGTTTATTCGCGAACATCTCATTAGTTTTTTTTTTATGGATTATGTTGAACATTCATGACATACTTATTCGTAAACAATTTTTTATCAACAAAAAACTCGGTTTTGGATTTATTAGATGAGTAGAGACGGCTTGTGTATCACTCAACATGGACTCAGACATGAACTTTTCGACTTGATGCAACAAGAATACCGACCTTGATGATATTTTGTCCTTTTATTTTAAAAGTTCCATGTGTTCTTAAGATCATGAGAACCACAAAGAAAATGTTATTATTATTATTATTATTATTATTATTATTATTATTATTATTATTATTTAACCAATATTATGCAAGATAGGTCTTAGCAATTTCCTAGCTACTCTAAAGAATCTTCCCAACGGTACGGAGAACAGAGTCCTACACAACACAACGACGACTTGGCAAAAGTCACGAGGCTGAGTCGCCTGACGAGTCACACATGCTCTCGGACTCGCTGACTCAGCCACTTCATCTATTTCTATATAAACCAAATCAGCTAGCCCATGACCTTCAATCAAAAACACAACTCGCAAAAAAATATTCTTTGATTTTTTTGGTCCATTTTATTAATTTATTCCAAATCCAATAATTGTTATTCTTTTTTCAGTCCACAAAATCTTCTTATTTGATTATTCCAATACAATCCTTTCAGCTCAATCTCCAAATCCCAGCAGAAGACATAAAAAATAAAAAATGAAGGTAAGTATATTTTTTATTCTAGTTATATAAATTATATATATGGCTCAATTAAATAAACCTTTTCTTTATATATAAAGTATATTTTTGCCGCCCTTGTGGTCCTACCCGGCTCGATTCCGGATTAGTCGGTTCCCCTGTGGATCCGAAAACCGGAAGGTCCCTGTACCAAAAAAAAAAATAAACCTTTTCTTTTTACAAGTCTTGGATTCTCAGGGGTGAATTTATATGTGTATCAATAGCGGGGCAATTGCCCCCTTCAAATTTTAATTTTTTTACTATTAATATTAAAAATTTGAATTTGATCCCCCTCTTAAATTAATTTTGCACCTCCAGATTTTTTGTTTTTAAACGTCACTCATCAGACCAACAATTATAATTATAATGTAATTTTTTTTTATGCATTTTTGTTATTGTTTACAAATTTTCCCCCTCTCAACTAATTTTCTGGTTTCGTGTACCCGTGATTTTGATTTGTTGTTTAAATGAATATTGTCTATTGACTTTGAGCCTTGACGGCACAGTAAATATTATCTTTTTATTGCAGAAAGTCGTGGTGAAATTAGAGTTCGCTGACGAGAAATTTAATAAAAAGGCCATGAAAACGGTCTCCGGTCTCTCAGGTACAAAGTCAAAAATATATTTTTCACTCTCTAAAATCTACAAATAAATCCCTGGACTTCGAGATACCCACAAATAAACCCAGTAACTTTCTAATAATTGCTTTTTCCACCCTTCTCTTTCACCAGGTGTACAGTCCATTACAATTGACACGAATGTCAAAAGGTTGACCGTTACTGGAGACGTTGACCCAGTGGATGTCGTAGAAAAGTTGAGGAAACTTTGCCACACAGAATTAGAGTCTGTTGGGCAAGCAAAAGAGCCCGAGAAAGAAAAAGAGAAGCCCAAAACTGAAGATGAAAAGAACAAAGGCGGCCCAAAAGTGGATCCGGCCCAATTTCTGAAGGCTTATCAAGCATACTATCAACCCCCGCCACAATACTATCGTCAGTATCAGTCGTACTATAAAAGTGTCGAGGAGGATCCAAATGCTTGCGTCATTTGTTGAAAAGAATGTCATCTCTTTATTGGTGAACTAGTGTTGATACTCGTGCGATGTACGGGATCTATAAAAAAATATTTTTTATTTAAATATTATAAAATTATTTAAGAAAATATAAAATTATATCATCTACAATATTTTATACAGTAATAATATGATATTTATTTATGGACTATTATTGTTAATTTCTATTTTTGTATTATTTTTTTGTAGGTTTTGACTATTTAATATTTAAATTTAATTATTTATAAGTTTATAAAATATTATAAATGTATATGATCATATGAATTTGCATACAAATTACTTGTATGTACTTATAAAATTGTAGTTTATCACATTCTTATAATTTTTTTAATAATTCATAATTTGCACAGTGCTTGATAGTTGACCAATGATTAACCCATAATATTTATCTTCCACTATAATTATTAAGTGCATTAAATGTTAAAAACTTTAATAAATAAATTTAAATTTTTAGTGACTTTAATCCTTATGCAACATACAATTTTTTTATGGCTAAATATTTTATTTTTATGTTTCTAATTTTTATTCATATTTATTTCTTTAATTCATTTTTTCAACCTATATGATGAGTTACACAATATCTATTCAAATATTTAGATATATTATATATTTCCATAATAACCAAGTGCCATAATCTAAATTATTATACATTGTTTTTATATATAAGAAAAAAAATATATATTTTTTTAAAATTTGAATAATTTTTAATGTATATAGATACTTCTAAGATAAAATTTATAATTCTAAATTGCACCCAACCATCAAAATTTATTTTTATTAGTATACTATTTAAATTTTCAATAGTATTATCATTGCATATGATATATTCAATGGAGACGTACCTTTTTACAGTTAAATTGACTACATTTTTAAACTTTTATTAATATTTTATTAAACATAGTTATTCTAATTATTTTTTTAAAATATTTTAACTACTTCTGAATAATGAATATAATTAATTAAATTAATGCCTACAACTATAGATGATTATATATTTAACCAAATCAATTTCCATAATAATATATAGATAGATATCTACTTCCTCTCGATCATTATAGATATATTATCATATGCGTGTGTATATTGATGTACTAATATATAGATAGATATTATGGCAAATTTACGAGATCAATAATCAGTAAATCATCATTAAATTAATAAAAGTTTCCAGGATCAATAAATCATTAACAATATTTACCTACAATAAATATTCCCAATTTTAGCCGAAAAAGTTTGAGCGGGAAAAATTCATCTATTTTTGACAAAATGGTTTCGTCCATTATATAGATATAGATATAGATATAGATATAGATATAGATTTCACCCAATTGATGGTTAGTTTTTAACCGTCAGATTAGCAGCAATCGTGCGGATTACTCTCTGCATCTAGACTTGATTGGGGGAAAACAGTACATAGAGAGACATTCTTATCATTATGAAATTAGCAATTAAGGAATCAATAAGCAGAAAAAAAAAAAAAA